TTTTTAGTGGAAAAGCTTTCAGCTTTTCTCCATTGAGGATGATGTTCGCTATGGGTTTTTTATAGATAGCTTTTATTGTGTTGAGAAATGACCCTTCTATGCTGATTTTGCCAAGAGTCTTGATCATGAAGGGATATTGTATCTTATCAAATGCTTTTTCTGCATCAATTGATATGACCATAGTTTTTATCTTTCTTCCTGTTAATATGGTGTATTACATTTATGGTTTTGCGAATGTTGAACCAACCTTGCATTCCTGGGATAAAGCCTACCTGATCATGATGTATAATCTTTTTTATAAGTTGTTGTATACGGTTTGCTAGTATCTTGTTGAGAATCTTCGCGTCTATATTCATCAGGGATATTGGTCTATAGTTTTCCTTCCTTGTCCTGTCCTTATCTGTTTTAAGGATAAGGGTGATAGAGGCTTCAAAGAATGAATTAGGGAGAATTTCAAATATAGGGACCAGCAGTTAACGTAACGGCTATGTCGCTGAACTCCAATGTAGTTGACTGCAGTTGGAGTCCTGGACCTGGTGGTTTAAACTCATGCCAGGCACATATGCGTGTGTGCCCAAGATCTGGAGAGGAGAATGGAGGAGAAGGGATTGCAGTGTGGCCATCACCGTTGAGAGGATGATTTCTCACTTTCTGTCTCTCTGTCTCTCTCTTTCTGGCGAGTGCATGTGTCCTATAGCAAAAACCTCTCAAAAAGAAAAAAAAAAAAAAGAATTTCAATTACACATATGATAGGCCATCTTATTAACATACTTTAAATAAAGTCTTCCATCCAATGTCTGCAGTCAATTTTCTGCATTTCTATTTACTGACTTTTTTTTTCTGGCATTAAAAACACTGCAATTTTAGTTATAGGTGCATGTGTGAGTGCTCAGTAGCCACTGAGCTACAGGACTAGGGAAGGAGATTGCAGTGTGATCAAGATCAAGGTGCTTCTTTCTCTCTTTCTGGTGCACACACACTCTGTCACAAGTTAAAGGAGGAAAAAAATGTAAGAATAGCAATTTATAATTTTGAATTAAAAAATGACTAAAAAGTAGAAGTTTCCTATAATGTTATCTCCTAAGAATTTTATATATTTCCTTTTAATCTTTTTCCTATTCAGTCAGAAATAGATGTATTTCCTATTCAGACACACAGACATAGTTTTTTTAGAGAGATTTTTGCTGTAGGGTGTGTGTGCTCACCAGAGAGAGACAGAAAACAAAAAATCCCCCTCCCAGGGGGAATGGCCATACCTCAATACCTTCTCCCCAATCACCTCTGAGATTTCGGGCATGCATGCACACATGCTCAGCATGAGTTTTAAGCCACTGGGTCCAAGACTCAAACTGTGGTCGGCTACATGGGAGTCCAGCAATATAACTATTACATCATCTGCTGATCCTGACATATATATTTTTAACATAATAGTGTGGGTATTAATATACTCTTTTGTGTTTCTTTCACTCCATTTTTTCATGCAGATGCATACATATGTACATCAATTTTTTAAACATTTATTTATTTGTTGTGATTTTTCAAGCCACTGGGTCTGGGACTTGAACTGCAATTACACATGTGGGAATCCATTGCCTTAACCATCATGCCACCTGCTGGCCCCTACATCAAGTTTTCAAATAACTACATTCTATTCTATTGTATAGATGAAACCTTAATTAGTGTATCCACTACTGATGAGTATTTAAAGTGTTTTGATTTAGAAATATTAAAAACACTATTGCAACAAAATGAATTGTAACATATATTTAGGGTGTGTGCGCTTGCCAGCCAGAGAGACAGAGAGACAGAAAGCGAGAAATCACTCCCCGGGGGGTTGGCCATTCCACAATCCCTTCTCCTCCATTCTCCTCTCAGGATCTTGGGCACCCATGCACATGCGCCTGGTGTGAGTTTAAGCCACCGGGTCCGGGACTCGAACTACGGTCAACTACATGGGAGTCCATTGTCATAGCCATTATGCTAACTGTTGGTCCCACGTGTTTGTATTCTTAAGGAAGTTTTCCACAAGATAAACCCTTAAAGGACACTTGCTGGCTCTGCTTGAGTAGCACTGGTTGATGCCGCTTCTCAGCAGGCTAAGGCCACATGGGAGCGAGTTTGATTCCCAGCCTGCCCTGAAAACTGATGGTGGTGGTGTACAGTGTAGTCCTAGTTACTTGGGAAGCTGAGGCAGGAGGATTTTGACATAGAAAGACAAGGTCTTAAAGAAAAGGAAAAAAGAAAAAACTTGCTAGGGCATAAGGTATACACAGTTTGTATACTGGTGGATATTTTCAGATTTATTCTCAGAAAGGTTATACTAATGTCCATTACCACCAGCATAATGCGGTGTTTGATGCTTACTAACTTGGCATTATATTAAGAGGAGATTGGAGGGAGATAAGTGAATTTTGGTGTATGGAGACAAGTGTAATTATATAGGTTTGAGGATTTGAGAACCAGCACCAAAACGGTCAGGTAGCACAGGAGTAGAAAAAGGGATCAGTGTTTCAAAGAAAGTAAACTGGGCCTTATTAGTGCCCACATAGAGCCAGAAGACTGGGATTTGAGTGTCAGGTATGGCACTATTAATTAGTGACCCAGGTCAGTTTTTCCAAATTTTTTTTATTTCTAATGGGCTTACTGTAAAAATTAAATAAGGCAATTTATATGACATTTTTATTTTAGAAGTTTTCGCTATAGGGCGCGTGCGCTCGCCAGACAGAGAGAGACATAGAGACAGAAAGCAAGAAATCACCTCCCGGGGGTATGGTC